GGCTGGGGACCGAGGGCTCCTCGCTAAAGTGCCCGCCACGCCGGGAAGCGTCCACAGGACCCGGTGCCCGGAGACGGCTAGGAGGCCGCTCAGGGAAGCACGACGACTTCAACGATGACGCAAGAGTCCTGCAAAATTATACATATATATTGAAAGTCCACCTGGAAGGCACGAGCCGTCCTATCGGCCTCTAAGTGCACAAGGGAACTAGAAATCAAAGAGAAACAAAGACCAGAGGATTAAAAAATAATTTAGAAGGCGTCCTGAGTGGGGGTGGGGGTCCTGAGCTGGAAGGCAGGGACTCCTGGTTTATTGCTTAGTCTCCTCCACCACCCCCACACCTTTCACAGCACGAGCTTGAATCATTTTCTATAAAACTGGTGACTAAGAGAGACAGCGTGTGGAACCGTTGAAGCACCCCCAACCAGCCAAGAAAAGGGACTCCGGTCGCGGCAAATGTACCTGTGCTCCCCCTGGAGGTGACATTCTCCTAGGCCCCCTTTAGGTCTTAAGTGTCCCTCCTAGGGATTCTGTTGTGATGTCTGAGAAGTGATACCCTCACGTGCCTGTGATCCAAGCAGCATCCCCCGCCCCTCTGTCTGGCAAAGCAAGAAAACACCAGTCTGGCCAGGTCTGGTTCTCCAGCCAACACTGCTGCTTTGAACATTGGGAAATGGAGGTAAGAGCATTCCACACTGACAAGGCACCGCACCCCTGTCCCCAGCTTGCTGACTTGAGGGAAATTGCTTCCTTTCATCGATTCACAGCATTAGAAAATGCTGTGTTGAGAAGCAGCATGGAGGTCACTTGGACCATGGCCCTTAGGTTTTAGGTGAGTAAACTGCTAAGAGAGGTGATGTGGTTATCCAAAGGCTTCCAGCTACTCTTGGCACTCAAGGACTTGATGCACAATTTGATGTCCAATTGATGTCCAATCTCCCAGGAAGACTTCAAGGGTTAATGGAAATTTCTTGTGGATCCATATTAAGCATCTCTCCAGATCCCACCCATTGCATCTGAGAGTAGGTATATGCCGCACTTAATGCTGTGAGTTTGGAAGATACTTTGTATGCATTGGATGACAGGAAAAGTACAATGCCTCAAATTCAAGTGTTGCCACTTTTTCTTAAAAGGAAAGAGAGGAGGGCTTGTCCCACTATTTGTTTGCAGTACCATTTGCTCAGGCAGCATTTTGAGGGCTAGTATATAGAAGGAGGATCTACCAGAAGTTAAGGAACTTCTGGAGGGCACTGAGCCAGAAGAGCTAAATTTGGTCCCAGCTCTGACATGAGTTAACAGTGTTACCTTGAGAATGTCACTTCCCTTCTTTGGGCCTCAGTTTTCTGTTCTATAAATATAAGCTCATTTCACAGGGACCCTGGGCTCTGGGTGCTGTGGGAAAAGCTCTGGGAATGTCAGTGCACTCCAAATGAGGAACTGATGTGGGATGAATCATTCAGTAGTGACTTCACTGGTGACAGTGACCTCATTCCTTTGGCCCACAGTAATGCCAAATGGTCTGCCAGGAATACTTAGAGCTCTGGGACCAATCCCATCTTGGTGTGGAAGTGGAGTAGAGAAGGGGTTATTTGGAATGCCCCCATGTCAGCCCCTGACTGCTTTAGCTGGAGGACCAAACAGTCCTGGGCAGTAAACTTGCTTTCCCAGGGGCAAAGAAGATGATGCCCCAATTGGTAAAAAAAAAAAAAAAAAAAAAAAAAGGCAGTTCTCAAATGTTGGGATTTGAGGAACAGGAAGGAATTCTGTTTCTAAGCATCTCATAGGATCTCTGCTTGCCTTTTTCCTTTTGTTTGAATTGCAAGTGTTGAAACAGACACAGGTCTGTGTGAGAACAGAGAACTTTTCTACGTGGTGTTCTCCTTCTCTTTTCCCCCTACTCCCTCCTTCCTCTTCGTCATTGATTCATTCAGTATTCTGTTTAACAAGTGTGTATTGAGGTCTACTAGAAGCCACGCTTTATTCCTGGACAGGGGATGAAGAGCTGGCAAGCCACAGTCACTGGAGGGGAGCGGAAAGGAACTGATGAGCAAACAGATAATTACTACATAATGTGATCAGTGCTGTGGTAGAGAATAAAGAACGGGCTTCTGGAAATGCAGAGGAGGCGGTTGTGCATAGCCTGGGTGTGCTAAAGGATTTGTAGAAGCAGTGTCATTGGTCTGAGGTTTTTAAAAGGCTAATAGGAGAAAGGGGGAAATGCCTGGAGGGGAAGTCAGTCCTGCTCCATGACAAGAAGCAAATACAACCTCCTGGTAATGGTGAACTATCTAAGGTGAACAGAAGGCAGGGTTAGTGATGCATGGGAACCATTTGTAAGTAACTGTGTGTCATATGATGCAGCCAGTCCAGGGGCTTCTGAAAGCCACATGAAAGCCTCCTGAAGGCAGGACCCCATCTGGTTGGACGATCTGTGCACTGTACAAAAGTGAAGGCTAGGACAAAGGACACCCCTGACCCATAGCTCTGGCTCAAGGCTGTGTCCATTACAATAAAGAGCAGTTTTCTCGGGGCTGGGGATGTGGCTCAAGCGGTATCGCGTTCGCCTGGCATGCGTGAGGCCTGGGTTCGATCCTCAGCACCACATACCAACAAAGATGTTGTGTCCGCCGAGAACTAAAAAATAAATATTAAAAATTCTCTCTCTCTCCTCTCTCACTCTCTCTTTAAAAAAAAAAAAAGAGCAGTTTTCTCTTTTTACAGATGTGACTTCTCTTTGTCAAACTCTGTGCCCATTACGTGTGCATCTACCCAGAGGAGTGACACTGCCTAGCAAGAGAAGGCAGTACCGAGGCAAGCAGTGGTCGCAAAAGCAAGGATGTGATGGATGGACGAGACAAGAATTTGCAGTGCAGTTGCGTTGTTCTGCACCCAGCCACTGTCCTGGGGATCTGTTGGTTTATCTCTCTGGAACACCATCATTTGCTTCTGCTCAGTGTTCTTTCTGATTTCATCTCTGTAATTGTGTGGTTTACATGGAAGCTGCTTTTTATACTTCTTGCCCTGATACCTGTGGATTGGCCCTAGGAGAGTACTAATGTAAGATGAGATAAGCAAAACCCTTTCCTGAACATTTTGAATTTGAGATTCACAAGAGTGTCCTCTCTGTTACTAACTAAACTGGATAATGTGGGCCTGGAAGATGATGGCCATTCATGAAATAGCCAAATAGCTAAGAAAATGAAACTAAATTACAAAAAGAAGTAAAGATGGAAAGATGACTGGGGTTGTGGCTCAGTGGTAGAGTGCTCATCTAGCAAGTGAGAGGCACTGGGTTCAATCCTCAGCACCACATAAAAATAAATGAAATAAAGATATTATGTCCATCTACAACTTTAAAAAAATTAATAAAGAAAAAAAACTTGCCCAAAGTTACACAGCTATTTCAAAATGATATGTTGTCAAAGCTCATACTGCTTGCCTTGTTCTATACTGATCAGGGATCAAAAATTTTTGTAGGAAAGTAGCAAGTTCGTGTCTGTCATTTGAGAACATTCTGGGACTGAAGTATAGATGTGGAAAGTAGGAGAGTGATGCGGAGAGAGATCATGTGAGTCTGAACCAAGCATGGCCATGAACAGGAAGAGGAGAGCATGGGTTTCATTTGTATTTAAATGATAGAATTCATAGGGTTTCATCACAGTGTGGAGAGGGTTTTCATTACTACCTTCATTACCATACTTGCAGGAGGACTGTTTCTTGACCCACTATTGAACAAAAGCCTGGGACTTTCTCTGATCATATCAACTTTGTTCACCTCTAAACCAATCATGGTGGCCAGCAAAAAGTCAGGTGGCTGTTGCCTTAGGCTAGGGGTACTGTCCATCTCTAAACTCATCACGGTGACAATTGGTCCTGATTTGGTCCATCAGTCATTTCCACCCAGGCATGATATTTCATTCCTATCCAGATTCTATGGTTCTTGCAAACCGGGTGGCAGGTGTGTGGTGGGGGGCATCTATGCTGGGGAGGCAACCAGCAATATCCATTATACATAGATATTGCCCACCTTTCAATGTAGCTCCCCCACCCAGCTACAATGGAAATAAAGGATCTGAGGAAGAAGCCGATGTCAAGGTAAGAAGGATCCATGTAAAATCCATAGTTTGTTCCAGATATCAGTTTGTGATATCTGGAATCCTTGCTCTCTCCAAATCCCTCATTCTAAGTCTACCTCCTCTTCTCTCTCTGGCCGTCCTTTCTTAGAGATTATTGATGAGTAAATAAAATGAATATCACCATTTTACCCTGGTGCTGTGTTACTTGTCCATGATGATTCTTTCTGCCGCTCATGCCCCATATCTTCAAACT